GTATGTATGTATGTGTGTATGTAAGTTACGTATGTATGTCTACGTAAGGGAGCTGTGATGCGTGCATGCATGCATGCATGCATGCATGCATGCATGCATGCATGCTCTTGTGTTTGTGTATGAGCGGCCAATATATGGCCAGGACCTTGGATGAAGAACGCAAAAAGCATGTACTGAAGATGTCATGTCTGTCTTTCTTTCTGACCAAGTGGCTCCGAGATGGCTTGTCATTTCACAAGACTAAACTGTCGAGCTGTGTGTCCTTATTTGGCAGTCAGGGATGTCTGATGCCGGGCGGCACTAGTTTCGCTTTGGAAATCGTGGCCGACATGATGAGCTCGGAGATCGCGGAAGCAACGTGCTTGCGGCCTCCTGACCCCGTTGAAGTCGATCCTCAGGCCGACGCGGGCGCTTACAGCCCCGTCCTCGAGCCCCTCAGCCCGGAGCCTGGCAGCTACGTAGCTACGTAGCATGGACTTTTGGGTGGTAAGAAGATTGCACGGCGCATGGAGCTTTCAGCTGTGGCTTCCAGCTCCAGGGTGAAAAAGAGAGGGCTTTGAAGCTGCTGGCACAAGCTACGACGTGCTTGCGAGGCAAGTACGATGCAGCCGATCTGTTGGACCCAGATGAGGATTCTGACTTTCTGTTTCGTTGGCTTGATAGAAAAGTCGGAGCACCTTGACTCGCATGAAAATTTTACCCCTTGCAGGACATGCAGGTGCTGCGTCAGGCCAGATCTTTGCAAACATCTGTCGGTGGCTTCGTCGTAGCTCCTTGGGTCCGAGCCTGCCGCAGGTCCGCAAAACCATCATCGAAGCTTTCGGCGACGGGCTCGGTTCTGTTCCATGCTCTGTAGAATCTCATGGCGAGACCACTAGTTGTCGAGGTGGTACAGTGGGCGGAGCATCATCTTCAGCAGATGCCGGCGTTGACCGGTCACGTGAAGAGCTCAGTACCGCCCTACAGTATGGTTTCCTCAAGGGCATTCACGGGCCTCGTTACGCGTTTTTGCTTGACATATCGCCACCGGAGGAGATGACGAGCTCTTCAATGCCGAGCGAGCCAAAGGCATGAGCCAGGGAGAGGCGCCGAGGGCCGCGCCACATTGTCAAACGAGCAGCAGTGACTCTGCATTCGTCGTGCCTTCGGCTTGCCCAAGCAGGCAGCCTTCAATGCCATGGGAAAAGGGGATGACAGCGAGTACCACGGAGAGGCATGTTGGGTCTGCAAGGATTGGCCCAACAGAGGTTGCAGAAAACATCCTTCCGAGGCATCAGGATCTGTATGGAGTCCTTCAGAATTTTGCCAAGTCGATTTGTACGGTCTGTTTCTGCTTGGCTTCGCAGCGCTGGCAGAAGCAATTGCTCACCATATCGATGGTTCGATGGAGTCAGCGATGTAGAACTACTTATCGAGTTTGTGGTTCCTTCGTGTTGAAGTCTTCTTTCCTTCGTGGGCCTCGTGCCGCCAAGCCTATCCCGGATCGATCCAGAGTCTTCGAAGAGACTTGGGGAAATAGATGAAAACAGTTTCGACACATGCTCTTACAACTCGTCCGTCCAAATTCCTGGCAGAAGCAGCGTGTGCTGCTGCTCTTCGACCTGGAATCGAAACGAGACAATGCGCTGGTTCAACGGGCGCTTCCTGTTGAAAGAATCCAGTTCGACGGATCATTTAGAATGGAGCCACAGTGTGTTGGACTCTGGTCTTCACTAGGAAAACCAGTGACAGAACTGACTGCAAAGCTCACAAACATGTTTTCAACATCTAGAATCTAGCACAAGTTTACCTAGGATCGCTGTCATCGCTGTACCTGAATTGAAAAGGGGGCGTGTTGTCATGCCTTTAGTGAGTTGGCAAGACCGGCCGTTTCAAGTCAAGGGCTCGTGTGATGCCAAGTAGACCGCAGTAAGTGTCCAGTTCCATCTTGTTGCAGGTACTTCTGGAAAGGAAGAGGTACGAGTGGGAGGACAAGTACAAGCCGCGAAAGCCAAGATTCTTCAACAGGGTGAAGACAGGTTTCGAGTGGAACAAGTACAACCAGACGCACTACGACCACGACAATCCACCACCAAAGATTGTACAAGGACGGGAACGGCAAATCTGCACTGCTTTACAACCCTTGGTACTGCAGAAGCCTGTGCGCTTAAAATGCAACACGCACCTTAACGGTCAGTTGCCAGGCTACAAATTCAACGTATTCTACCCAGACTTGATCGACAAGAGCAAGGCGCCAACGTACCACATTGAAAGGTCGGACACGCAAGACACAGCGACGAGCTTAGAAATGCAGCCTACGAACTTATCCAAGTGCCAGAAGGAAGAGTGGTGCCACATGCACTTCTGAGGTTATGCTCCGATTCAGTGCTGGTCCCCCTTACGAGGACGTAGCCTTCAAGATCGTAAACCGCGAGTGGAACCTCTCTCACAAGCTGCTAGGTCAAATTACGCATGTGCCGCTCTGGATTGACATGCCTTGACTTCTTCTCTCCTGCACTTCCTTCATAGGTTTGGCTTCCGAGTGGTTTTCGACCGTGGAGTATTGCAGCTCTACTTCAACGTGAAGCGCTGGCGCTACAGACGCTGAACTCAGCTCCTGCACGTTGCAGTCCTGGTGGTCGTTTGCGGAGTAGCCAAGCCTCAAAGTGGGGTGGCAGTTGCAAACGTGCGTGCCTGGTCCCAAAGAAGTCTAGAGGTGACAGAGGCACCCTTTGCTCTGCAGTAGCCCATGCAGGACCACTCAACCCAGTGTCGACCTACATACGCAGAGCCGGACGTCAGGAAAAAACAGGGGCTTCGCAGTTTTGGACAGACGCTAGGTGGCTCGTTCTTACACATCGTTTTTGGTTGTTCTCAGGTCATGAACTCTTGCCTGGTGATGTGGACCGTGTCTTACATTCGCTCATGCCTGGCATTGTGTCCTTGTGGGGAAAGGGTACGACTGGCATGCGTGTCAGAATGCAAGGGGTCTGTCGTCTGCCGTGCTCATGGCATCTGCAGCAAGGCTCGGGCAATTGCAATTGACCTCGGTGACATCCTGGTCTTTGAGGACATGGGCCTCAGCAAACAAAAACAAGTCTGCTTCATAATTCGTCATGCGAACCACTCCATATGCCTACAGTCGTGTGGGCATGTGTACATACGTGCGTACATGCCTATGTGCATACACAGATACACATACATACGGACATGCATGCTTATTTGTACGTACGACTGGCGCACCTTTCTACGCACGCATATACGTCTGTGCATATATGTCTATCTGTCTATATATAATATACATACACGTTTGTGTTTATATATATATATAATATATATATATATATGTATATATACACATACATATGCATTGCGGCATATGGCATAGCTCCACATTGTAGCAGCTACACATGGTCTGTCGAGAAACGTAAGTTGCCTTTCGGCGATCATCGCAACGGCAAGTCCGCCGCACGACTTAAGCTGTCGCGGTGGGGGGTAAGCTGCAGGACATTTCTTTCCCGCCCCCGTCCCCTTTTCTCCTTCGACTTGTGGAGTTTGCTGGACTTCGTCCTTCGGTGCTCAGCCTCGTGGCCGTCCAAATGTACGGTTATGCGTGCTGCAGTGCCTTCAGTCGCGCAGCCGATTGCTAAACTCTGCCTGCCTCATTCAGGATATACTTGGCTTATGGCGGGAAGGTGATTTGCTTGTGTCCCAGCTTGCAGCGTGGCTCTTACCTGCGAGCTTCGGAGAAAGCCGAGTGCCCTCGTTGAGGCTGCAGTCCGACGAGCTGCTGGCGGCAGCATCACACCGCTCAGCGTCGATCTGAGATTCGGGACTCTTGCCTCTGCGATTTTTTCGGTTGACAGTGGATGTGACCGGAGGCGGAAGAAACGATGCGCCACACGAAGCCAACGAACCTGAATGGTGGCCGTGTCCGCAGTCTGTAGTGCGCGAGAGATTTTGCAGGATGCCAGTAACTCGGTATGCTGCCGTGCCTTTCCTGTTGTGAAGTTGTCACCATCGGGCAGCGATCTGTGCTTTCGCTGGGGCTTTGGCCTTGTGTTAAGGTGTGGTGTTGTGCCTGCCCAAGCTGTCTTACACACAGCAAGCATGCGCTCCAGCTTCATGTCCAGTCCGTGATTGGTGTGTCCCGTCGCCGACCGAGCAGTGCAAGGTATGAAGTCGCCCGAATGAGGGATTCTGGATATACGGAGGCCCGGGAGATTTAGCATGCTGCAGCATGCAGCGCCGCTCGATGTGCTGGGCTGGTGGGCTGACCTTGGAGGACACACTACGAGCCGCACGGGAAGGTCAGGTGTTTGCGATTCTTGAGGGTCTTGCGCCGTTACTAAAGCAAAGGTGCATGACTGAACAGGCCTAAAGCGTGGTTACGGGCACTTCTGCATGTGGGACCAGGACATTATCAACGTGGCGTGCTCGGCTTTTCGTGAAGCCTTCGGCTATTCAGAGCTGGAGAGTTTCGGCCCCTGCAGGCCATGCACCAGGACTTGTGGGGAGGTCGCCGCGTGCGAGCACCGGGCTTGTCTTCTGCCAGTTGAGGTGGGAAGACAGGCTTAGTGACGGTTAGTGGCTTAGGTGCTTCCATGCAGGTGGTCACTGTTTCCCGTGGCAGGCCTGGCCAACCTCAGCAGTCCAGCTTAAGAGGTTCCATGAGTAATCGAGTTGCTCTTGCGCTTCTTCTCTTCTGCAGTACACACATTCATACACCCCATATGGCATCTACGGCATCTGTCTCCGTACAAGTGTAACAAGCAGCGGCTTGGCCATCGCTCTCTGGACTCGAGCTTGTGTTGACCAGTGGACGTCCACAGCTTGCGCGATGATCGCCTCGTGAGAGGATGGCAGTTTTTCTGGAACACGCCATCATTCTGGCAAGGCTCTTGGTCTCGATGTCTTGTTTCTGTTTAAATGCTTGCGCCGAGTTTTCGTCGACTTGGCAGACTTTGCTACCAGTACTGGTAGGTATCCAAAGCTCGCCACGTCTACCGCAAACTAGCACCAAGATCACGTGCTGCTGTAGTTTTCTGTGGTTTCGGCCAACATGTTTACACTGGTGTCCCAGGCTTGAGGAGTTTGTCCAGCGAAGACGTGGGCACCTCAGAAAGGTCTCAGCCATCTCCCGAAATTGGCTGGAAGTTGCTTGAGCATGTTGAGCCCTTGCGAAGACTGCAAGGATATCCGGGATTTCTGGGCGTTCAAAACTGAGTCGGTGGGATTCGTGGCTTCTTTGCTTCCAGCCGATAGGACTTCGGACTTCAGAGGTCGATCACTTTGAGCACTTCTGCCCTGGGCCTGCCGGGCCCCAAAGCAGAGGGCAGCCACAGCATATGCAGAGCCGTCAGCGCAGACAGACTTTAAAACAGCTCTGGCTGCGTGCTGCAGGTCTTGATGCTGCACACAATCTTTGCATTTGGGGGCAAGAGGCAAGGCAAATGGCCCAGTGCCCTTTCATTAGAGTGGACATTTTACCAAGTGACCTCGCAAAGTGCACAGTGCGGTGCAGCGTCGAGAGCAGAGACTTGCGTAAGGGATCGCCAGTTGGCGCGGGATGTTGCGCTCGTCGTCTTCCCAGCTTTGCTCGTGCTTACAAGCTCGATTTGCGTGAAAGGTGAGCGGGATAAGAGTGGCTGATCCCATCATAAGCGCACAGGTCCAAGGAACTCGAAATGATCAGCCGGGCTCTGCAATACGTGGAGCAGACGGTAGTCCGTACCTCAGCGCAGGAGTCGCACACGCAAGACGCAACCCTCTCGGCATTCAGGCATGTGTTCTTGTGGTGAGAAAGCGGCGCTTCTGCACGTGCCCTCAACCATGAAGTCAGATGCCAAGCAAGCAAGATCGGTTTTTGCGATTGGGCAGGTGACAGAAACCTGTCCCACTCGCCCAGGCTTTGGCCGTGGGTGCAACGTCTCTTCAGCTTCCTCAGCGCCTCGGAGGATGTAGGTGAATGTAGGTGATAGAGGGTGATAGTCTTCCAGCCACTTGCCGCTGGAACGATCGAGGCGATGCCAACCAGGCAGACCTTTCACTCAAGCCTCAAGGCCCCCCCCCCCCCCGTGCATGGAAACCCACGCAGCACATGCGTTGGCTGAATGGAGGCCCTATCTAAGCCATTCTAAAGCAAGAGAAACCCTGAGAGGTGTAGCTGCCGGCAAAAAGCTATGAACCCAGGTCCACCTTTCCTCGAGAAGGCGAGCGAAGAAGCTTTGTTCAAGCTGGAGTCCTCGGCACGAGTTAGCTAAACGCAAAGCACGATTTCTGAATCTGTGAGGTCTCGCACGGAGCAGGGCGAGGACGACCGGTGCAGGCCCAGAAGCCCTGCTGTCAAAAGAGTACATGTGTGCAGGCGATCGGTGGTGGATTTTGGGGTGCTGAGGGTCTGCCCCTCGAAGCTGACGTTGATTTTGCAAGGGTTGAATGCCTCAAGCTGTTCGGGCTCTTCATTCGTTGCTCGCCAAGCCCTCACAGCCCAGATCATTGAAGCCTCCAGGGCCGTGGAATCGAAGAGAACATTTGGATGCGACAGCGTGATCCACCGTGACGGTTTCATCTGCTCGTGAAAACCCGGCATAACCCGACATTGATACGTGTGGTCAAAACCCGCTCGAGTTCACCGGTGTGTCTGCAGTCCCGGAGTGTGTCCTTCACCCCTGTCTACCCTTTGTTTGCTCCGCCATCTAGGGCTCACACGGCTTCGGCGGAAATAGTGTAATTCTTACTTATACATATATCAGACTGCACGAAAGCATGCTGTCCGCCGCAGCCCGAAGGTCAGTCACAGCACGACAGGCAGAAACGTGAAAGAACCAACCCACAAAGCCGCCGGTTGAACTGCCACGAAGAAGGCAGCTTGTGATCGCAGATACTGCGCGTGCTCTGCAGAGGGAAAGCTCGGACGAGTGAGGTGTTGGAGGACGACAAGTTCTAGAACACCAGACCGAAAGGAGACCACGTCTCCGTTCTGCAAAGGCCGTCGCGGTTCGTTTGGATGCCTCTCGAGGAGGTCACTCGTGCGAGGGCCCGAGGCTGCTGCGGCCTCTGCACTATGCCACGTGAAGGGCACCAATGAGCAGTTGAAGTTGTAACCTTGCCGATGAGACAGTGGGTGCTCCGGCAACTTCATATTTGATGACACGGAGCGCAGAATCGCACAGTTTGCACTTTGAATGAGTTCCAGGTTGGTATAGCACAGTCAGTACTCGTATTCGGTGGCTGCGTGTGGCTGCTCGATCTGTCGCTTCGTCCGTGAACGAAGCTATGCTCAGCTTGCGCTGGTGCGGCAGAGTCGAGCACACCCCTGTCAAAGGCACATCCGCCATTCGCGGCGGCAGAATCGTTTTTTTGCGCCTGCGAGCATGTACAAGCCGAAGCTGAACACCCCTTCAACCCTTCAATATTCTGCGTGATCTGTGTGAGACGGGACCTTCCCTGTCATGGATTCCGAGGCGAGAAGGAGATGTCTTCCATGAGGCAGGGGACGCTGAGGCAGGTGCAGGGCAGGGGGTAGAAGAACGTCTTGCTGCACGTCGAGAGCGGAATCTGTCCAGTAGCCAGGTGGGCCATGTCTGTGGGAGCGACGCTGGTATCCAAGAACTGTGCCGGCCACCCAACCCAATCCAACCCATACCAACCCATACCCAGTTTTCCACCATTGCGAGCCACTTGCTTGAAAGGCCACGCTGCCAACAAACAACGGGAACTATGCGGGCCGGTCGCTTAGACTTTGCGGAGGAAGTTGTCGCCCCGCCTTCCATCACCCAAGGGATGCGAAAATTCATTTTAGAGGCTATGGCTATGGCGGAGGATTCCACAACTTCTATGGCTTCAAGCCAGTCATGCCGTGGCATGAATGAGAAAGGTTCACTGGTTCGCTGTGGACTCCCAGATACAATCAGAGAAGAATTAATTGAAGAGATCGTCTCGCCTGCAAATTCGACTGGAACAAGTTTCGGTCCAACCACCTCGCGGCACCCCGTGGGCCAACGACTTGGTGGTTGAAGGGGCAAAGCAACCTGGTAGGTAATACGAACACCCGCAAGGACAACATGTCTGTTTGACTTCAGGGCGCTTTAGGAGTGTCTCATGGCACTCTCATTGTGCTCGCGATCGTCTCTCTACCAGCCGCCATCCAAGTCCCTATTTACCACTCGTAGTATGAACAGGGAGGAAGCTGTATACAGCGAAAGGCCATGGCTAGGAAGGCATGAAGTAAGCAGTGGATAACGGAATAGTGCACTAGGAAGCGGCTGAAGTTCATGAGAATGCCGAATTTATTGAGAACAGAGCAGTCGCTCAACACCCGAATATGCACCGCCGGACTGGATTCGAGGCAACTCACTGACAACATTACCGATACCTCTCAGTGTTCGCATCAAAGCCCCTTGCAAACCTCGCATTGCTCTCCAGCTGCTGCTGCCCTGCCCTTGCTCTGTCCCAGCCTAGTGCCTTTTTTTTATACTTTATCCAACGTTGACTTCTTTCGGTAATTGAGGGGCGGGGTGGGCGGGCAAGCCGCAGTCGTACGAGGATAGCCGGGCTTCGTTCCCGTCATCAAACTGCGAAGCTACCCGGAATGGCGGCAGCACCCCGCTCTCGATTCCGATGGGTGATTGCTTTCCTACCCAGTCCACGGGAATCGGCCGCCATTCCCTACCAAAAGCATTTGGTCTGTGCCGTGCCTCCGGCTTACATGATGCCAGCAGCGTGAAATCACGGTGCTTGTCGAGGAGGGGTCGCTATCATGGTACCAGCAGGGTTTCATTGATCAGAGCCTTTCGTCCTGCGCAGATGTACAATTCGAACGCTGGGAGCGAAATGACACGCTCACGCTGGTGGCAAGCAGCCCAGATTGCCCGAATACACGCATGCCTGGTTGGCGATTGCTTCTTGCATGCTTTACTTGCACGGAAGCACTTATAACTACACGAGCGTGTCGTGCCTACCCAGGTTCAGACAAATGCCAGAGAGGCAGCTTGGTTGTTTGGATGAACACAGAAGACTTCAAGCACTAGATGTCTTGCTTTGCCGAAGTGAGTGCCGGATGCAGTATTCGCACTGGCCCAAGACACTAAAATGACATGAATACTGTTTTCAAGGAAACAAGTTCCTCTGCTCACATTGGCTGCTGCTGTAGGACTTCCCCGAGCTGGACTTTGTTGCACGCGCTTGCCTGTTGGTACGTACACACGGGGAGTTGTAAACTTTGGGCGCAGAAGCCTACTTTGTATGAGCCCCCCTAATCTTCGTAGAAGTTTGTGAGGCAAGCTTCGTTTTTGCTATGCAGCCCGATCTGCAAGCCGGTGCAAGCTTCACTGGCTTTCCTCTCCCTCCACCTCACTGGCAGCTCTTCAGACCGAACTCCCAGGTTCTCGTGGCACCTCCCCGGCTTCCTACTGGCGATCTCTTCGTCTTCGGCGAATGTGAGCAACACACGCAGCTGGACCTGCGACAGTCGCAACTCGATGCTGAGGAGTGGCTTTGCAACCCGGAGGCGCCGGACCTTGGTGCGGAGCTCCTGAACCTACATGGAATGCTTCAAACAAGCTGCTTAGAGCTTTTCGATTGCCTGGCACAGAATCCATCGGAGTACCCCACGCATCTTCGGCGGCTGGGGCATGTGATCAAGAATGTTCAGGCATTGCTGCATGTGTTACGACAGCGTGAGGCGAAAGCTGCAGTCGTGCAGCAGTTGAGAGATCAGGTTAGTCGGAAGCGGGCCTTCCTGGAGGAGGCAAGAACATCCTTGCCCAACTTGCGGCAGCGGCTGGACGACATTAGCAAGAGCTGGAGCTCAAGAGATGCCAAGCAGAACGACGAAAAGCCGAAAGTTGGCGCAAAGGAGCAAAAAGACGAGTTTGCCTCTAGACATCTCTAGACATATGTGCTCACTCGCACCGGTTTCGCTGACTGCGGTGTCCTGGGCAAAGCGGCAATAGTCGCCGTCTGACTTCAACACGAAAACGTCCCACCCTTTCAGAAAGCAAACGATCCCCGCCCCCTCACGGTACTGCCGTTTCAGGCATTGGCTGCATGACAAACTTAGCCCAAACTGCTTGTGAACGTCGAGAGCCCTCCACTAGGCCTGAATAATCCAGAATATTCAAGGAAGAGTCGCAAGGCAGAAGACCATAAACTGAATCTGAAGGATGCCCATGTATTTCTGGGGAAGATCACACCGATACCCAATGAGCTCCATGCGGTGGGCCAAGTCCCCAGCAGTGTAGCATCGAGATGATTGAGGGGCATGAGTGGCAGAGCCAGTGGAACTTGATGGAACTTGTTTGTGTCTGGGCATGCCTGCGGTTTTCTGGTACGAAGGCAGTAGTGCCCCACGGTCTTCGGGCTGCGGTGCCCCATGCAGCGCAAAATGAATGGTCGCGGCAGCGGCGCTGAATCAGATGCCTACGACTCGCCGTGGATCCATAGCCGCAAGACGGAGCAGTTCCGTTTACAGCTGCAGTTCGAAGACGCACGTGTCATCACGTGTCCTACTTTACCACTGTTTTGCAATCAGGGTGAGAAGTGGAAAGGCTTGCACACACACACACACAGAGAGTACTGGCTTCGAGTCTCTCCGCCAGGTCTGTGGATATCTTCCACTGCTCTACAGGACATCGGAGTTTCCAAAATGGGTCTCAAGGAGAGTCTTTGGAATGGTGAGTAGTCGGGGTACTTGCAGATGTAGATTTCGAGAGACCATGCAGAACCACCCTTTCGAGCAGTTTCCTAACTTAAAAGTTCACTGATGCTTCAGCGGTTTATCCCCCAAGCCCTAGGGGCCGGTTGAGACATTCCGTGACATCCGCATTGCAAGGCCTGCCTACGCCAGAGCTTGCTCCAGGGGTAATCAGCAGCCCGACGCGCTCCCGGGCTGAGTTGCCAAAGACCAGCCACGAGAAGCTGCTGTGGTGGTTGGATCCAGCCCGATCAAAATCAGAGTCTTGTGGGGATGTACCTCATGTTGACACTGACTTTTGCGGCTCAGTGTGCATTCAGTACAAACTCCCGGTTTCTAGTACATAATGTGGGTGGTGAGCTTGGTGTGTTCAATTCTTGCAAGTAAGAGCTCATCGTGGGAGCCGTCTGATGCATGTTTCCAGCTGTCTCGATTCATCTGTGAAGGTCTTCCCGATGCCATCCTGCAGCCGCCATGGGAGCCGTCGGAAAGGATGCTTCGTCGTCACATGCTATGTGGGAACACGTTGCCCCGAAGTTGACTTTGCTCATTGTCTTCCGAGCAGTAGAGAGGTTCCAGGGCTTGGTCGCGATCGTTGTCTCCAGGGCGCAACAGGAGTGTGAACTGTCAGACAAGGTTTAGCAAAAGCTCAGCATGATTGGGCAACAGTCGCGAGAAAACATGGCAGGCTTAAGGGTCAGGGGACAGTCGACCCCTCTTCTTGTGCATCGGAGACAGAGTATGTACTGAGTTCGTGCTCATGCCGGGGAGGACACCTCCGGCTCTTCAGCTTTCCCAACAGGAGGCCGGGCAAGCTGTTGAGTCTTCAGCATTGCATCTTCTTTGGGGTTTAGGGATGAGGCCGGGCGTGCTCCAATCAAGCCTGTGTGAAAGGGATGAGGGTTTAGGCCCTCAGTGCAGTCTGGAACGAGTCAGCTGTCCTGGTGTGAGTTTGCAAGCTACTTGCAAAAGGGCTTTGGGATGGCTTTGGGTTTAGGGTTACAGGGAGGCTTCTACCTCGTTCAAAAAGGGAGGCTTCTACAAAGGATCGTTAAGGGTGTGTGTAAGGGTTTTTTCAGGATTCTGTCTGGGTTCGTTATACGGATGGAGAAATACCACGGCAACTATAAGACCTTCGCAGCGTACATTCTGGGCAACGGTTTGAAGCTTAGGAGCAGCTAGCCGATTTGGAAACTTTTATTTGGAAACTTTTAAGATGTGGATCGGCTTCAGGTGGCAACAACAACCCAAATGAAGGGCTGGTTTTGGTAGGGGGTTGGACACTGCTTCGAACACGTTGCCGCAGAGCAAGGGCCTCCACAGTGGCGGAATACCTTGTTCAGACCGTGCTTAGGTAAATGCAGAGCCACATGATTTTTGTTGATTGGTGTTGCCTGTTGTTGTTGCCAGTTCGCTGACCAGCAGCTGCTGTTTGAGTCTAAGCCTGGCTTGGTCACTTGTGCCCAGCGTGTTCTTGAGTGGGCGGGACTGCAGGTGGAATTTGACAACGCGCCACATCTTCATCGAGTGGTGGAGAGCCTTTTTGATGACTCAGAGCCCCTTGTGTCTTGCTGGCACTGGGTTTGTGTTCGCTTTGAGAGGAGTTTCTGGTCGTTGTTGCTTCTGAGGTCACGTCGTCACAGACAAGCAGTGATGACAGCAGCTGGTCACAACGATGCACGACCGCGATGCTGCGGAACATCCCAAACAAGCAGTGGCCTCAAACTCCCTTTGGCAGAGCCCAGTCTGCTGTGCGTCTTTGTGGATCTGCTGGAAGCTGAGGTACATGCGAGACAAGCTGGTGGCACAGCTTGATCAATGTGGCTACAAGGGCAAGATGGACTTTCTGTATCTTCCAATTGATTTCAGGACCCGATGCGGGGCTGTTTGGACCTGCTCGGCAGGGTTTGCGGCCCATTCTTCTCTAGGACTCTAGGTTACATGCTCTCTGTGTCGGTTGTAACCTCCTTGTCTTCGCCAACAAGTGTTTGATGTCTGGCCTGGGGCCAAGCGACTGCTTTAAGTATTTCTCATATCTTGCCTTGCCGCATGCTGGCCGCTGTCGCTAGCGATTGACATGCGCAAGGAACAGATGCAATGTTGGGTACTGCTTTATCAACTTCCGGACGCCACAAGCGTTGGTGCGATTCCGGGATGACTTCCACGGGCGACGAAGCAGCTTTGAATGATTATCCAACCATCGTGAGTCCGAGTGGTCTCGGTCTTGACGTTTTGGAACTTGGTGTTGGCACCCCCACATGCTGAACCGCAACCGGTTGCTTCTTTGCAGACTCCTGACCTGGTCCCGGTGGCAGGCTGTGATAAGCTTCCCGGGTTCAACAGCAAGAAGGTCCTGCAGGCTGTCCCGAGTATCTGCCAACCTCACTGACTGTGCAGTCTGATCGTGTGAGAACCCTGATTCTAAAGATTGACGTATCATTACTGCAGTTCGGTGCAGTCACAGGCGATGCATAGGCCGCTAAGCTGATGCGACATGAACAAAAAAGGCAGCTGGCTCCAAGCAACACATCCGCCGGCCACACAGGTATCCCCAGCGCGCGTGCAGGGGCTTGAGGCAGGAAGCCTTTTCGCGAGCATGGACTTGGACTTTGCTTCGGTCCAGTCGTGTCCAGAGGCCAACATCCTGCGCCTTCAAGGGAGCCCCATCATGGAGAACACGGCGATGGAGCGGGAGTGGCCGGCAGCCCCAGCCATCCGAAGGTGCGCTGAAACGTAGCCTGCGCAGTTCCAGCTTGAGGCTTCCGGTGCTGCTGGACCCAGCCGGAAAATTGCTCGACTTCCCCATGATGCTGCCGCAGGCGAGGTTCTGTGACGTGTTCGAGGGTTTGTGTGATGCCTAATTTTGGAAGTACTCCTCCTTCCTGTGCGCACCCGCAACAACCTTTTGAAGTTGTCGTTCGGGGACACAGAATTGCTTGATGCAACGCGGCGAATACCGAATACCTATAGTCGTCTTTCCGGGGAAGACCGACAGCCGGTGTTTGTGTGGTGATGCTGTCGGTCCAGACCTTAACTCCCAGGCAAGAGAGAAAGCGCTGAGGGTGTGTTTTTCGCCTGCGTGGTGTCGAGATGTCAAGCCGAACAGGTTGGAACCCGGCTTCGGCCAGTAGGGGTGTGGGGGCGGGAAGGTTGCTGCTTCGAATCTGTAATCTACCAAGCGAGCTGGGTTTCCTCGACTTTCAGTGGCAAGTTGCACACGAGAATGACCGAAGGCGAAGAGCACGGAGTCTGGAAAATCCGCACGGCTCTCAGGCTTTCGATCTCAGGCGCGCAGCCTCTTGCTCATCACAGTAAAGTTAAGTTCAGGGTTTTAGCAGCATTGGTGGAGTGCCAGGCAGCGACGAGGAGAAAGCGAGCAAGCACCAACGTGGCCATCGCCTGTAACAGCACCATGTTCCAGCTGCTCGGCAAGAGTGCGTGGCACGAAGCCAGTGACTGGCCTGGCAGAACGCAGCAGGATACGGCTTGACATGCTGAGATTCGCCAGGTGAATCCAGGTGATGCTGATCGTGACCATGACGTCAGTGAGGATATGTGTCGCAACAGGTCGCAACTGGTGAAGCACTGTTCAGGGGAAGGTACCCACAGCAGAGCGTGGGGCCGTTTTTGCTGTCAAGCCGTAATTGCTGGCCTTTTGAGTATGACGTGCCGGCAGCCGTGGTACAGTTGCAAGGGCTGTCTGGCTGAAAGAGTGGGTGCCTGGGGGCATTCAATGTTTTGTGAGCCGATGCAATCTTTCTCGCGCCGGAGCAGCCAGGAGGCAGGCAGCCACGAAAGTACATCTAGTACATCTAGTCGTGTCCCAGCGTGTTGTCCTGACTTTCGGTTGTTTTGGCGCTTGCGAGTTGCGATTGTGGTGCAGCTGGCGTTTCAAATCTTTGCAGCGCTAGCTGTGTCAGTTGCACACCGCGGGGTTTATTGTTGTGCACATTGGTAATTGTCTCTCACGCCACGGACTGAATAGGATTAGAAACCCCGCAGTGCATGCGCAGCCTTTTGTTCCAAGTGCGCACACTTCTTGCCTTCAGCACATGGCTGGGCATCTGTACTATACAGCTACATACCGCTGCAAATGTAAATTTCAAGTACTAGTAGCTCAAAAAAATGTGGTCATTGACACAGTCGCCTTGTTTCGGATATGCTGTTCTTTACTTAGTGTCAGTGACCACATGAAACTGCCCCGAAGGGCTCAGAGGCTGTCCATATATTTTCCTTTGAGCAATCAGCTTTCGCAGGGTGGTTCGGAAGCTGTGTGTTTAAGTTTGGCATCGCTGGGCACGACCACCTGTCCGTTGCTAGCCCCTCAGTTGTGCCGTCCACCTCGCAGCCTCGAGTGCTGGAGCTGTGGGCGTGCATTCAATGGTCGGCAGCGTGCACTAGCTCGTCATGCCATGCTGGGGCATATGGATTCTGTGAAGCAGGACACAAGAATCCTGTTGAAGTTTTGATGTTTCCACGTTCCTGTTGCTGTTCATTTCGCAACAGGGCCTGTGAAGCTTACGCGAGTGGTAAAAGGGCGCTGTCAAAACCCGACCTTGACACTGCTCTAAAGCCTGCGTCTTGCTTTTGCTGAGATGTGGATTCTTCACTTCTTGTTTGCTCCGTTTTGCACTCCATCACTACGTCCAGCGTCCCATGCAAGTCGGTTGGTTCACGAATGTTGTGGGTTTCCGCTCGGCAGCATCCTTGGCAAACGTCCGCGCACTGCTGTCGTCGCGAGGCCTCATGACGGAAATGGGCGACTTTTTGCATTCCCTGCTTTGTGCACCATCCGGCGCCCCGTGAATTTCGTTTCGAGTTCAGGTTGGTCTGGAACCTATTGGTTGCATACTGAACCATGCCTTGATTTTCCTTTGGGATTTATTTGATAGCTTTTGCTATCTGTTCGTTCGCGTTTCTGGACTGCTGATGGCTGGCTTAGAATCTGCCTTTCTGTCTCACTGGGCTTCCGATCCATTGTGCGTCTTATCATCTGGTGCATCCACCACCTGGCTGGCTTCTGGTCGGTGTACATACACGAATCGTTTTGCCTACTCATGCCCGTGCACAGATCCCACACACCAAGGTCTGGAAATAGCGCGTGGCTTAGATGCTTCAGAGCTCGGAGATTAAAGTGCTTGTCACTGTCACATCTGCCAAGGTGGTAGATTCTTCGGACAAGTCTGGAACTTTGCTGCGGTGGGGTATGGGCATTCACGGTGCGCCAAGCCAGACTACAGAGCCTAAGGGCTCTGCCAGGAATATGCGCATTGAATTCCCTGCGAGTGAACTGCGAGCTACACTGCTGTCGCCGCAGGAGAGCAGCTCGCTTTCCACAGTGGCCGTATCCTGCAGGATGAATTGCAATGGCAATTTTTGCTTGCTTTGCCGGATGCGATGGGTCAGTAGTGCCTCACCTTGCTGCAGTTCATGCTAACCACCGTTCCCCCCATGCCTCGGGTCACGATTGAAGTTCGCTCATGCTTGACAGGACGATGACAGCTACTCAACATTCTGGATGCAGGCCAGCTGGACATGGTATATACAACCCGCGCAATCATAGTAATCATGCCTGCAGAGATGCCAGTGCGAAACTAGTCGTACGCGACTTGTTTCCTGTTGCATGGCTGACTCAACTGGCGTACTTCTGAATTTGTTTCTTTTTGGTTCAGACGGGTCTCAGCACTCGGGTTCGTTTGCTTGCGTACTCTCAAGTCATGTTTGCTTCACCTTTGCTATACCGAGCCACGACCTTGGTATGCCGTTTGGCATCGCAGCATCCCGGCACAGCCCGGGGAAGCCTTTATGCATGATGCGAGACGTGGCTTGAGGTGTAAGACTGATCTCGAGCAAGCAATGACAGCTCCTTAGCTAGCCCGATCGGTCTCCGAATGCCTTTGCTCATTCTACAGGACCTCTAACAGTCTCTAACATGTTCTCGCTTGTTTGTTAGGGCTGCCCAGTAGCAGAAGCAGCATGTCCCAGATCCAGCAGGAAGGTACATGTACTATACAGGCCCTCAGATTCCCCGGACACGCAGCAAGATGAAGCGTCTGTGCTTGGACCTCGGCCTCTTCGATCCGAGCAATGATTGGCGTCGCCGCGCCATGGCAAGAGAAACTTCTCAGCTCCGCTGCAGGCCGACTCGTGGGGGGTGCAAACGTAGTGTGGCACTAGGCCCGGCCGATGTATGTGAGGTGGGAGGAGCGGCTCTTCCTTCGGCAAAGAGAAGTTGGAGAAGCTGATGCACGCGCCGCCTGCAGGCTCACTTGGCCTGATTGATGCTTTATCAACGTTATCAGTTTTAGGAAGAGCGATCTCTTCACCGGTTCCTGAGTCAGCCCTTGTGGTGGCGCCTCAAGGTGCTCGCATAGCAGCCGCTGCATCCAGCTCACTGTTCGTTGCTGGTTATGCCAGAGGGCGCAAGCAAGCTTCTCGCTTTTGCAAGCTCTGCGAATTGCTGTCGTGCGCTTGTTGCATGAGGGTATGGGTTGAACCATGGCTTCCGTGCACTGTTCCATCAGGGTTAGCTGCCGCTTGCAAAGATCGTTGGCAAGCTATGGCCTTCCAAGGTTTGGTGGCAGGAGACCTCCTGCTGCAACACTCCGGGCAGGCCCTCACATGTGCACGAAGGCATTTCAGGCAGAGAGGAACTCAACCGCAGCTCGTCAGCGCGCGACCTCATCAGATGCAGGTACTGCTGCGGCAAATCTGGTGATAATGATCACAACGGCTGGTGCTTTGGCTGTATGGACAGGGAATGCGGAGGTGGATCCGCGATGTACTCAGGTCCTGCTTACAAAGTGCGACGGTGCTAGAGACGCCTGCGTCTGCATAAATACCATGGAGCCCTTCAAAAGCATGATGACGAAAGCATATTGGCGTGGGATGACGTGGGAATTCGGATGGCGCGAGAACCGTCGGACCGGGCTGAGCTTTGCCGAGGTCCTTGGCTTCGGAACGAGTGCAGGTTTTGGCGCTTCTTGTGCTGGCCTGCGTCGCAAATCAGGCATGCGCGGGGCCCCAGCTTCTGGCTGTGTCTCCTCGAAGGCTTTCGGCCCTTTTCGCCGATGTACGCCCGATGAGGCCGAGCCCTTCCGTTCTACTTGGTGGATTTCGCTCCCGACGCGCAGGCGATGTAAAAAATGCTGAGGTGTAGGCTGAGGCTCTATCCACCCGCGCTAGCTGATCCCGCAATGGCCGCGCAGTAGTCAGAGTACGACACGTGTGGACAGACTTGATTCGGCGAGCACAGGGTAAACACAGCCAGAACATTTCTGCCGCTGCTGTTGCCACCACCACCACGACGACAACGATGACGACATAGACTACAGATACGACATACTACTACTTCTACTACTGTTACTGCTACTACTACCACTACTACTACTACTACTACTACTACTACTACTACTGCTACTGCTACTGCTATTACAACAACAACAACTACTACT